TTTTTTTTTCGTTCAAAGGAAGATATATTATCATCGATAAGACCATTTTAGTGAATTTAAACATACCTAACAGAATTTTTTTTCTGTTAATATTATACAAGCACTGATACTTTTTTGTTCTCATTCAAAAAATATAATTATTGTAAAAACTCGATGCAATCTTACTAATAATTCTATTAATATACGCGAGAAAAACAGAAAAAATAAACATTCTTTTATTATTGAGTTTTATGAAAGGCAAGAAGAATAGAAATAAGTAGGTGGAATAACAAGAATAAATATTGTATATTCATTTTTGAACAAAAAATGAATAATATAACTTACTGAATTTGTTCAATTATGTCAACAAATAATACATATGCGACAACGTTATTAGCAGCTACACCATATCTTACGCTCATCATTGATCTTATTACTTTTGTCATAGGAACGACAGGATCTGTTTGTAACTTAATTATATTTACTGCTCCACGATTACGTCGAAATGCTTGTGTATTTTATTTATTATGTGCTACTGTATTTCAACTAATAACAATCATTTTCATTGTTCCAATTCGTCTGGCTTCAAATAATTTTGGAAGTAATCTCGATAATCAATCGATTATCTATTGTAAAATACGTTATTATTTGGCCATTACACTACCTGAATCAGCGACATATTATATATTATTATCCATTATGGATCGATGTTTAGCTACATCAACAAATGTTGGAATACGAGCTTGGAGTAATCTTAAAGTGGCATATCGTATGTCAGTTGGTGTTCTTATTTTTATATTTATTGCAAATATACAATTAATAGTGTTTTTTACCATATATAATAATAGTTGCCAAATTAAACCAGATAGCTTTGAGACTTTCTATGGACCTAGCTATATATTGATTCTTGCTATGATTATTCCATATACTCTCATGTTGATTTTATCTCTGAAAACTTATTTTCAAATGAAAAAAATAAAACAGCGAATAGCTCCAGTTTCAAATTCATCAAATCACACACAGACAAGTCGTTTCGAATCTCAGATTATTATGGTAAATAAGTTTGCAGAATTTTGTTTTCTTGTTTTATAAATAGATTTGATCGATTTTATAAATTTTTATTTGAAATATTTAGATTATTTTATTACAAATTATTGTTACTTCAACGCTTCTATTAATACGTGTTGTTTCATATGCGTACACAATTTTTACTAGTGATAATTTCAACAAGACATTGACCGAACGTGCCATTGAAAATTTCATCGTACAATCCAGTTCTTCATTATATTTTTTTAGTTTTGCTATATCTTTCTATGTATCAACTTTAACAAGCAAATATTTTCGGGATATATTTAAAAAACGAATCGGTCATTTATATCGTCATTGTCGTAAACAATAATAATAATCGAAAAATTTTTTGCAAATTATTTGGTTTGTTTTATGAAATTTAATAAATAATGTTCGTCAGAATAAATTCTTAGTATTATTTAGTATCAATGTTGCTACATTTTGCCCTTCGAAAAGTGGAAAAAGTGGCAACGCTGTCAATAACATTCAACATATCATTTCATGGACATCTCAAAATAATATTTCTATTTGAGTCAGAAGATCAAAAAAAAATACCGTTCTCAAATTTGATGTTACTATTATAGATGATTTGTATAGACTTTTCGGACAACCAGTTATATTTCCTTGCTCTACAAATCAGTATGACTCCTATTGTCAATAAAGATTTATTATTCTTTTTTTAAATTAAAAATGGAACATAAATCATAATTCATGATATGTAGGAATAACTCCTGAATAATTGGCACCAGCCAATGGACAAACATCTGTTGTTCCCCACCATTGAGGAAAAAAGATATCATTGTTTTGTAATGCGAAAGTTATAAGTATTCCACAAACTGCGACACCACAGCTCATTGCAGCAGAAAATACATATGCATATTTTTCCCACCATCCATGTGCATGACGATATAAAACATAATTAAAAATAAAACCAACTAAAAACCACGATGGATATTCAGCAGTTGATGTAGTTGGAATCGCATATACAGCTAGAAGAATAACTGGAAAATTAATAAGTGTTAACCATTTCACATGTGGAAATTTTCTGCATAAAAACCAACTTATTATAGGTAAAATTGGACCAATAATAAGTCCATAGAGCAAAGATGAATACATAGACTTTGGTCCTAATAGTCTTACAAACCCTAAAAATTATGACAATATAAAACTAATATATGAATAATGCTTTCGATCTTACCAACTACAGCACATATAATCGTTAATGAGTAACTAGTTTCCGTAGCTAAACATCTCCATTGAGAATTTTCTCTTGTACATATATTTGGTATATTATTGAGGAGATATATCATTGTTATATAGCTTACTATACTACCAATTATTGGACATAAGATCAAGAATGGAAAAGAAATACGAGGTGGAATCTAAATTTTTCAATAAAAACTAATAATGTCAAATGATTATTTTACCTTCATATAATGAGCAGTTTTAAGTAAAATGAGAAATACCAATATTTTGTTTTGACATCCAACTGAATACGCTTCGTATATTATGAAACTAAGAGGATTTCCAAGCAGTAAAAAACTACCAATCACAAAAGGTAAAATATATGAACCTTAAGAAAGAAAGAAAGATCACTGAAGCTAAAAAATATAATCATTCTTTTCATTAGAACGAACCGATTTGAAAACCTGTTGTTGCCGTTATAAATCCAAATGGCACGACGAACATAATATTTAGAATCATAGTAACTAAAACATATAATCAGAATACTATGGATCTATTCTAAAAAGTTTGTTCTACACATAACACAAGTATCTTTCCACAATTCAGTAAATGACAATTAGAGCAGAAGAGTAAGTTAATCTACTATTTTTTTGAAAGATGAGGATATATGATATTAATTCTATTATTTCGAATATTAAAATATCGTAACATACTGAGAACAGAATATGAAACTTATCCCAACTGTAGATAATTAAAGATTCGACATATGTTGAAAGGATTTTATGAAATAGTCTCATATCGATATACGTTCATCTTTCAAGAAATAATAGATTAACTTGCTCTTTTACTCTAATTGTCGAAATCAAGATAACATTTGATTAGTTTGAAGATATTTCATAAAATAAACTCATAATGATAGATGATATACTCAGAAGAACATGTCCAGATAACAATTCATTATGATAACCATTTATTGTGCCAAGTATTAATGAAACAACAAATAATATATAATACCTAAATGAAACAGAAACAATTAAAATCTAAAAACTCTAATAGTTCTTACCAAAATTCAGGTACTTCAGCATAATGAGACATCAGTTGAGCATGAACATCATTCTTCTGATCTTCTAGACTTATACGAAATTGTTCGACACATGATTTACCTAAATTATAAGTCAAGTATCTAGATTATATGTTTAATAAAACTAATCAGAATCAAAAACTTACCATGATAAAGTATTGTATGTACAATTGCTGCTGAAAATCCAGCCAGAGTAAAGCCAAAAACAACAACGAAACCCAACGGTAATCTCATATCACCTATAAAGATGAAATATATTCTTTAGAAAAACAAAATTGACATTAAATACTACCATAGATATTATAAGCAGTTTCATTTAATTGTGAGTTGTTATCTAATACTTTACTTGTATTATAATAGTAACCATTAATATCAAATACACTATTGGACACAATTGGCATTTTTTGTGATTCCCATGCATTTGTATAATAAAGAATTGGTATTATAATCCAAATTGCTAGAACAAATCCAACAAATGTATTCACATGTGCCCTTAAGAATAAATAATTAAACTTATTTGATATAAAACAAAAGAAATTATTCACCAAAATGGTACAAGTATAGGTGAATCTAAAAATGATACCCAAGCATTCCAATCAAATTGTAATGCACCTACACCAAGTCCATCGGCACCTGTTATTTGTGAGAAAATAATATTATTTGGTGCTATCATACAAACAAATGAGAATGATGCTAAAAGAGGAAAAATATAACCGGGAAACCAATACCAAAGAAATTGAAATAAAAACATTAGCCAAAAAAATTTAAAACGTGACATTGTCCATCGTGAATGATTCAGTTCAGTTTCATCTTCATGATTTAGTGTACGTATTACACAACAAGTCATCAAAGTTGTTGGCCATATCATTGCACTTGGCCATACAAGATATCTTTTTAGAATTCCTGCTATTGAAAGAGCAAATAAGTTGAATGTTATCAAAAATATTATTGTATTAAAATGGTGAAGATAATAATTATAATAAACACGTTGTACAACAATTGCTAGAGTAGGAGGAGTATCAATATCTACAGACATTGCCATTATTACAGCAAGAGTATGTTCTTTGACGGAAAATGGTTTTGAATTCACTGTCATATTGAAAATCTTTTCGGGTAATATTTTATGAAGAAATTTACCCATCATGGATGATAATAACATAATAATACCAATATCTAAAGCTAATGGTAAGGTACGTAAATTAAAAAATTGATCTGTAAACGCCTTAACAAATGTTAATAGAATGCCAATAAATACTGAACGAAATGTTAAACATAATACTGTTGGATCATCATGATTAGAAACATTAACAGCAACTTCTTCATAAAGTGATTGTTGCTTATCATCTGTAACACCGAGTAGTGGTATGTTTGCATCAGTCTTAAAAATATTATTTTAATAAATATAAATTTTGTGTTGTTTTTTTGTTACCTCTGAATTATTATCTTGGATTGAATGAAGATTCATTGATTCAATTGTTTGAGATGGTGTATCATCAAGATTTTTGTATTCATAGTTATTGTTTGCCATTTTTATTCAAGGAGAATCTTGCAATAAATATCACGTTAAAAAAAAGTAATATATATGTTTTTATATAGCTACTCAAGCGTTACATGATTAATAATCGTAAAAGAAAAATACAAATAACAGTAGTCAGTATGCATGTATTGATCGATACGTTCTTCTATATTGTAGAAAAAGGATGGACGAATCAAGATTGACTAAACTAGCAAGGAAAAAAGATTAGTTATATTAGATAACGAATATTATTTTTTCTGTTTCATAATCGTAAGTTTATTTTGTACTTTATTTTTCACATTGAATCGAAAATAAATTTTAACTAGATTAGTAAATAGGAGTATATCATGAAAATATACTATTAGAAATTTATTCAAGGAAAATCATATGCGTGTTAACGTGTATTTTTCATTTGACCTAATAGCTTTCAATATATCCTGATTCGATAATATATACTTGTACATATCAGCACATTTTAAAGTAACATTTAAACGTATTTTTAATTCAGCTGACACTATAATTCTGTTATCATACAGTTCCGGTTGTCATTTACTAAATATTTCATTTATGAAAATAAAAAACATCAGAGTTTTCATTGAAAATATAAAAGAGAAAATAATCTAAAAAGCAGAAACGACAGAAGAAAAGTAGAAAAACCTTCAAAAAGCAAAATTTTTCTGCTAGAAGCAGAAGAGGTGGCAACTTTAGGTAATATTGTTAACATTGTTCCTAATTGAGCTTGTACAAGATTACGAATACGAATAGGTGTATAGAATAAATTTTGTTCAATATCATTGATCCAAATATCAAGATGACTTTCAAGTTCAATCTGAGCATTTTCAAGTAGTTTTATATCTGCAGATGGTTGTTGAATTTGTAATATAATTGCACGATCTAACATACTAGCAATTAACATTTTATAAAATACTGAAATATATAATGCATCAGCTCGACTAGCAATAGTAGCTGGTTGAAGAGTAGAATTATCATTAAGAACAGCTTGACGACGACTAGCAGCAGTTGAATTATACAATTCTAATAATGAACGAGATGCACGATAGAATGATGAATCTAGTGTCATTGCAGGTTTGATTTCTTGAAGTAGATACATTAGAATAGTATTACTTTCATCATCTTTATCGAGTCCTTGAAGAAGTACATCACGTCTTGTAACATTTGGAATGATCGTATCGTTTGTTACACTTGGCGATTGAAAATAAGGTAATTCTGCCATGAGAAATATTGTCTTATTCAAATTAATTTCGTTAAGATAATCATAACTAGTTCCACCACCATACATCATTGTTACTGGATCAGTAGTAGTATATTTTTCATAATAATCATATGCACCGACTAAACTTAATGGACTAAAGATTGCTGGTGCATATTGTGTTACCCAAGGAGCTTCAGCTTCGCCTTTAGCTAAATATAAACCAAGTATAGATGGTAATTGTTCTAATTCAGGAAAAATATCAACAAGAGGTTGACTAATATAATAATACATGCCGCCAAAGCCCGAATTATGTAAACCATAAAGAAAATCTGGTTGAACTAATCGTATAGCATACATTAATGCTTGTGTTTCATTCGAAGGTGTTGTCCAACTATAATTTTTGTATGTAACTGGAAAAGTCCATTCAACTTGTTCTTCTGTACGTGGTCGATAAAAATATCGTGCATAATTACGTATTGTAAATGGACCAGAAAACCAACCTTCATTAAGACGTGTTCCATCTGGATCAATACATGGTATTAAATGCCAAGTATACGTCACGAGTAATTCAGAATAATCAAATAAAACACTGAGTAAATAATCGATTAAAAGAGATCCAATTGGTTCATTTGGATGTGGACATGCATAGAGTAATAAAGATTTAGTTCCATTACCTATTGATAACATTGAAATAGCTTCACCATTTCGAGAAGTACCAATATTTTGATAATGTACAAGATCTGAATGATTAAATGCAGCAGTACGTGAATGATTCAAGAGTTCATCCACAGTAAAAAATCGAGAATAATCTGGGACATGATCCATTAGGCTATCATAGATTGTTTTTACATCTTTACCTTGCACTGTAGTTTGTATATATAATAAAATTCTAAAAACAAAGTTTAAAAAATGAATTTAAACAGACAAAAAAGGTCTTTTTAACATACAATATGATTTTGAATAACATTGTTTTGAGAATAACACGATAAGCAGCTGATCAGTTTTTTGATGAAAAACAACACAATATAAATGTCATAAAATGATTCAATATTTTCACGTTTAATCCTATGTTTTATATTTATTTGACATTCTTATCAGCATAGACAACGATAAAGTAGATATCACAAAGTTTTCACATACTACCTTTATTTTATAAAAATATATCATGATTATTTATTTTTATACAAAAGTACTTTAAACATCATACATAAATTAACTAACAATTATTAAGAATTAAATTTGATTGCTTTTCCAAGATTCATTTTCTAATTTGCCTATTTTGTTGTTGTTAATTGTATTATTTGAATCCGAATGTTGTTTATACAAAGCTGTTGATCCTAATGCTCGTCTCAATTGTGGCGAAACAATTAATAAAGTAATACTACATATTAACATACCAATTTCAATTATAAAACAAAGTAATCGATATGAAAGTGGATGCAAAAACTTTTGAATATACATTAATAACCATAATAAAATCGCGGCACCACTCGTATTCGAAAGAACAACAACTACTAAAAGTAATCGTTTAATCATTAAAAGATCACGTTCCATACGTTTCCATCTTTTCCTTGATTGCCAATTTCGTTTCATATACATAACAATTTTGAAATGAACTATAACTATACCAAATATAGGTAATACAGTAGCTGTTATTGAAATATAAATTGATATCCATGTATCATTAAAATGATTTAAACAATAATTTTCTGATGATAAATAGATAGCACGAAACCAAACGGGAATAGATATTACTATAATATATATTATATGTAAGAAAATAAGTTGTAAATGAAATGAAAATGTTCGATATAAACGACGATGAGGTTTCATAATACGCCAATAACGAAATACTGCATGTACAAAACAAGAACCATATATGCCTGCTGCGAACATAGACATTAAATAATTTAATAAACGACAATGCCAAGAAGGAGCACTTTCTTCTTTGATATGTAAATAGAAATCACCATATAAAGTTCTACTAGACATTATGAGAAATATAGATGTTTCACCAATAATATGAATATACGTATTCATTGAATGAAGAAGACCAATACGACGACTATCATTTTTTGAAGAACATTTTTGAAGTCTCCGACAATAGATAAGACGAAATAAAATAGTCAAACCAAATAAAATAGTCAATGACGCTAATACTATTGTAATAATTGTAAAAAAAGTAGCTGTCACTTTTAAACTTTCATGTAATGTAACATTTAATGATGTGTTAAACATTACTTGATTGTTTCTGTCTAAACTAAATGTTATCTGAAACGCTTTTTGTTATAAATAATATTCTATCCACAATATTTTTATTTATCAAATATTTATCAAAGAATGAATGCTCATAATTCTTAACGACATCTGTTTTCTATTTAAATCGATCTAGTCTACACTGTACTTTCAAAGTTTATTCTATAGCAACAGTCTCATTTTGTAAGTTTATTTCGTACGGAATTGAACATGTATATATACTACTCAACCTCTGCTATTTAAATATATAAATGATGTAAATTACTGTGAAATATTTTTAATACACGACTCAAGAACAAAAAAGTGAAGCAACGGTTTTGACACGTACTACATCACAAAAATATTCTCGAAAGAAAAATTATATTTTTATATAACTCGTTTTACGCAAACAACCGTTATTTGAAACTTAAATTAACAAGTCGTGTCAGATGTTATTAGAAATTTTATTAGTATATAATTTATAATTTTTAATATATAATGTTTTTTTTACCTTACTTGATGACGTTCAATACGTTTTTAAATATATTGTGTTCGTTATTATATTAAATATAGCTATTTGTTAACATCGATGGCGTGATTCCATAAGGAATTACTACATTAAATTTGTCAGCAACTCCAGTCATTCTTCCAGTTCAATGATTCTAGATAGAAAATATTAATATTTTCAAAAGCCAGTCATAGAAATACTACACTATATAATCTGTTATAGTTTTTCCTCTTTGAAATATTAGCAATTTCATTTTTTAAATATGTAATTATCTTTAACTTATTTTTGTCCTTATCAACATTATCTGAATATCTAGAGAATCACTTTAACTATGTCATCACATCTTATATTTAATTCTTCTAAAACTCAATTTTAAGAAAATAAAAACTAACATCGCATTATTTTTCTGTTTGAGGCTATTCATAAAATTACTCAGGTCAATAGAACTCTTAAATCATCCAATTTTCTTTAGACAAATGATACTAATTATTTATATAATAGCTCTGTCGTTCTTTTCACATGAAATATAAAAAGTACGAGTTGCCATAGGACTTAAGTTATAATTATCTTCCTTTATGAATATCAGACTTTCTTCCAAGAACTTACAATTTATACACTAAAATAATATTTCTTTTAATTTATAATAAAGAAAATTGATCGCCTGTTTTTTATCTCATTAATGACTTGCATGATTTTATCACCTTCGCAAGTTTAGAAATATATTTGAGGGCGTATCAATTTTCTGTTATTGTTTAGATAGAAAACATATGTTTTCCAGAACGATTAACCACATTTCGATTGTATAAAATCTGATTAAAGAGACTTCAAATACTTCTGGACAATGTTTAATTTACTATGTAAAAAAAGATTCTTTGATTATGTTTGTTATTAATTAAATATATCACGCATTAACTTCTAATTAAAACAACACGGTTGTCTAGTGAGAATAATATATGAGTATCTTTTTTTAAATATATTCGATTAGTTTTTAATTGTAATCTATATGACCTACATATATATCGGAATTTTCTATAAGAATACAAGTGGAAAAAACATCGCATGACTTTTACTAATGAGAGAAGAATACAACCATTATCACTATAACAAATGCTAAGAATATAAAACAATATTTTGATTTTATTTATGACATAAAAACATTTTTTTATAATGTCGTTAAAGTTTCAAATGGTGCGATTTCTTCCATATTATTTGAAGAAGTATTTGGTTTTTTAGTATAAGATCGACTTTGATCATTAGGATTTTTTGATCGTAATGCTCGTTTTAACTGTGGAGAAACTATTAATAACGCCATACTACATATAATCATACATAATATAATTATAAAACGTAATAATCGATAAAAATATGGATGAAGACGTTTATCAAAAAATGTTAAAATCCAAAGTATTATGCCTGCACTACTTGTTTGTAATATAATGATAACTAAAAAAAGAATTCTTCGAATTATTAACACATCACGTTTTATATGTTTCCAACGTTTCTTAGCTTGTGAATGATGTTTTATATAGAATATAATTTTTATATAAATAATAGATATACCAATAACAGGTATTATAGCTGTAATTATTGAAGTATATGCTGCTGTTAATCGATCATCGAATGGAGTTAAACAGAAATGATCAGATGATATATAAATAGTACGAGGTAAAGTAGGTAATAATAATAGCATAATAAATATCCAATGGGTAAAAATAAGTTGAATATGAAATGGTAATTTTTGAAAACGACTTCGACTTGATTTAGTAATTCGCCAAAAACGAAAAAGTGCTTGTAAAAAACATGAACCATAAACTCCGGCTGCAAATGAAGTCATAAGATAAGCTAATATATGACAATGCCATGGAATAAAATTTTCATCATATTTTTTTCCATATAAATCACTATAGAAAGTTTGAATACACATTAATAGAAGTGTCGATAAGATTCCAATAAGATGAATATATGTATTAATTGAATGAACAAGTCCAATACGACGACTGTTATTTTTATTCGAATGTTTTGTAAATTTACCATAATGAATTAAAATAATAATAAGAATAAAATTAAACAGAATTCCTAGACTACTTGATAAGATTGCAATAAGATTAATACCGATACTAAATTTTGTTACGTTTTGATTGAATGAATTATTCAACATTCTTTTTCGAAAGTCTAAAATTTATATCATAAAAATAATACCTTATGTGTGAATGACAAAGAAGTTTTAAAGTTCACTTCGTAGAGTTTTACACTGAGTTAAAGTTCTTATATATTAGTAATTAGCTGTTCTATTCGTACTGACATGAATAATTACAATGAAATAACTCATTTCCTGTATTAAATACTTTTAATTATTAAAAATATAATCAGTTACAAACTACATATATATATTATGTTGCTTAATAAGGCAGACATTCATCTCATTTAAAATTATAGGTTAAAGTTACTCATAGGATCTATTGTTACCAATAGTAGAATCATTTCTTTGAAAAGTTTTTATAATGAGTACATATTTTATTCGAAGTAGAAGAGAAAAACATCTAAATTCTTGCAAGGCATTGAATTTATAAGGAAATTTAATATACTCAAATGTATTGAAGTCTTCTGTTTACCTATCTTCAACAGTAAAAAACTTTGATGAAGTATAAAACTCACTTTTTTTTACATTACAACTACGAACGTGTTTGTTCTTCAATACTTAATATTTGAAAATGTTCTCTTACAAATATATAATTATGATATTTATCAACAGAGGCGTTATACCAGGTATTTCAAGAATAATTCATTAGTATAATAAGTAAAAAAAAATTATTCAAAATAAAATAGACACTTTTCACGCATCTATTCACAAGAAAATACTTTTATAATTATATTACGTAGAGTATTTTAGTGCGTCATCCAAAAAAAAAGTATTTTAAAAGAAATGCATTTTCCATTAGAAAATATATGAAATGAAAAGAAATTTTCTATGAGAAAAAGCAACATGAATTGAATTAATTTTTATAATATGATTCATAATGTTTTTTTTGAAAAAAAATTAGAAGAATTGTAATAATGAACACACGTTTCAGAAGTCACGTAGTAAAATATATAGAGATTATTTAAATATTTTTTTTGAAAGGAATAAAGATTAAGAAAAATGAACTATTAATCCCAACAGGGTTATGAGTGATACTACTCATTAATTAATTTAATCATCGTAATTGAAAGATTAACACTTTTAATTATATACTGACAACTGACTGATCTTTATGTATTTTCTAGTTTTGTTTGTCTTTGAAAATAATTTGATTCTATAGAAGTAGGTGAATGAAACCATTTCTATATTGCAGACATCTGCATATGCATATATGCAGAAAGTTAGAATAATTCTTCGAATTACGGAAGGGCTTTAGGATAGATTATCTTAACAGCATAATAACTTCTCATGATTTTTTCTGTAATATGTTGATCAATAATTTTGCAATTTAATATAAGCGAATATGTTTGAATTGAGGTTATTCTCTATTTGTTTATTTTCACATTATATTTATAATATACCCTTCGAAGTTGATGCTAATTTATTGTAATAAAGGAATAAAGTACTGTACAATCAACAATATACTTTCAAAGATATTCATTTTTAATTCTCGACTAACCTTTTGTTCATATGAGATACCCATCTAACAAATACTTTGTACCATGTAAGAAACCATCACTTATTAATATCTTGCGGATACTTGAAATTTTATATTAGTGAAACTAATAATAAAAGTGGTTGTTTGTTTAAAAAAATTGATCCGAAAAGAATTCAAAAAAACTAACATCAGATTCATGTTCCTCGATCCAGACTAACCTTCGGTCAACCCTTATACAAAAACTCCTTTTATATCTTTACATAATTTTTGGACCAATCGGTGAAGTGCGGACATACAAGCAAGCGGACAATTTATATTTGCAAGACTCTCCTCTACGAGAAAGACAACAGAGTTGTTCTCTGTACGCGCGCGCGAGTTCCTACAAACTAGAATTAATTGAAAAGCAAGTAAACAAAATCTTCTTTTATTTATTTATCAACTATTCTTTCTAACTTCTTCTTTCACAATCTCAATACTCTCTATCACATTTTTAATACTAGGATGATTTGAAGGTAATTTACGTTGTCTAATGTCCTGAGCACGTTCATAATATGACAACGCTTTCAAATAGTCTTTCATATTTTCATACACAAAACCGATGTTTTTGTATAAAATAGCCAATGAAGGATGGTTTGGAAGAAGAGTTTTTTCTTCAATTTCAAGTGCTTGTTCGTAAAATGAAAGTGCTTTCGAATAGTCTTTTATATTTTCATACGCAAAACCGATGTTTTTGTATAAAGTAGCAAATGGAGGATGGTTTGAAAGAAGATTCTTTTGTTTAATTTCCAGTGCTTTTTCGAAAAATGAGAGTGCTTTCGAATAATCTTTCATATTTACATACACCATACCGATGTTGTTGTATGAAGTGGCGAATGAATGATGATTTGAAGGAAGAGTTTTTTGTCTAATTTCGAGTGCTTTTTCAAAAAATGAAAGTTCTTTCGAGTGCTGTCCCATCTCGTGATACACATTACCGATATTATTGTATGACTGCGCTAAATGAGGATGATTTGCAGGAAGAGTTTTTTGCTGAATTTCAAGTGCTTTTTCGTAAAATAAAAGTTCTTTCGAGTACTCTCCCATCTTGTGATACACATTACCGATATTATTGTATGAAATAGCCAAATCAGGATGATTTGAAGGAAGAATTTTTTGTTGAATTTCAAGTCGTTGTTCGTAATACCAAATAGCTTTTTCATAATTACCTTGGTTCCGATGGGCCAATCCCAGTTGATTATAATAATACTGCTTTTCGTTCTCATCGGATGTCTTTTCTGACAAGATGTTATAAAGTTCTTCAGCTTTGTTAAATTTACCAGTTGTAAGCAATAATTTACCTAATCTTCTCCATCCTGTATTAGCACCAGCTTCTTCTCGTATTCGATTAGTAAGTAACCGTAATTGTTGATCATCATCCGATGTTAATTGTAATTGAACTTGATAAAGTTGATCCGTATTGTCCATTTGTTGAATTACACCCACTCGAAAAACGGTGTGCATTGAGAAGAGAATTTCTTCTTCTCTCTCAGCAGCACTCATCTCTTTGATCGAGGCAAATGGTGTTGATTTAATAGAAGGATCAATGGACATTATGAATAGAACACCCACCGTATCCGGTATTGTCGAAGCACATTCAGCAAATCCAAGAGACACTTCTTTATCTTTACTAGTGGACAAAAAATTGTTAAATGACATTAGTCCACCTTTTGTTTTCTGAAGTTTTTCGAAGTCTGATTTCATAAGACCTTGCCCTCGATATACTTCAAAAGACTTTCCATCATAACTGCTGACCTGCTGTTTGTATAGTTGTTGAATTTGCTTATGTACATCACGTAGAAAGAAGCCCATAGTAATAATTATATCGGCGTCCAGTGTTCGAAGAGCATAGTTGAGCATATAATAAATATTGGATTGGAGACTATACCACCAAATCGCTAATTGAGGATCGTATTCTTTTTCAAAACGGTCAATATATTTTGGTGCCACGCAGTCATGATCTCGACAGTAAGTAATAAAGTCTTTGACAGCCTGTTTATTATGTTCCATATCAAGAAGAATTTCCTTGAATAGCTGGGTATACATAAAGGTGGGCTCCAACTGATTTAAATTATCAGTTGAAGCCATTTCATTTACTGTGATAAAACTTATGGCTATCGAGTCTTGATGGTATTGTTTAATATCCAATTGTAATCCTTTACATATGTCATCAATGTTGGAATGAACGCTCTTGATTTTTTGCCATTTTTTTGTCCATTCTTCATGTAGGGTTTTAATATCATTGAAGATATAAACACCATCCAGCTGAGGAATATCATTGACGAGGGGCATTATTTGTTGAGACATAGTATCCTTGACGATGAGCAAAAACCTGACGTCTTCTTGAGCATCTGTAAGAAAGTCGATGCATGCATCTCGTTGCGTAAAGACATTGACATCACCAGTAATAGTTCGTAATTGTTTTAATGTATTTTCATAATCATTGTTTGTTTAATCGATGCTGGTATCTACCCATAGAAGAAGGTAGTTTTGTGCCATACGTTGTCGGCGTTGACGAATATTGGATGACGCAGCAGCATTTTCATTTGATTTTAATCCACCCATTTTGATCTCGCTGTAGTTTTTTGTTGAAAAGAAACTTGCCAGTAGATGTTGTTGTTTGACTGAAAAGAAAGATCACCGTTCTTCTTTATATAGGTAGTGACTTGTTTTTTCTCGATTTTTCGTTTTCGCTCAAGGACACTTTTTACCCAGTTACTTTCAAAATAATATTGTGTAGAACAAGAAACAGAACAAAGCAAACACATTTATTGGCAACATTATCGAAAGAGCGAAAACAACAGAAGTATAGAATAGAATAAAGGTAGAAAGAGAGATACAATTTCTTCACTGAATTCGTTTTTCTTTTACACTCTTTGCCAGACATCATATGAATGTTTGATGAATGTATATGTATGCAATTTATTATGAAAAGACGATGAAAAAAGCTTTGTGAAATTTTGTACATAGAGCATGTTTTAAACATTATGCCAATGAATAAAAAAACTGTAGATTCAGTATCGATGAAAGTAAGACCAAAAAAAACTTTTTGTTCTCTGTTAAAACAAGCAAAGTGTTTCATACTAAATCATTGAAGAGTTTTATTGAAAATAGTTTTTAAAAAGCACAAAAATATGAAAAAACGGTTTCATAATTTAAGCATTGAAGACTATTGTTGAACAAAAACGAAACTATTCTGTATCTGTAAAGGTGCAAATGTCTATTACAACTGTTGTTAGCAATTGAAAAAATAAACGTTCTAAGAAACGAAGTGCTGAAGAACTATATACTTTACACGAGAAAAGAGACTTATTGAATGCTTTATTAAATGATATATTATTTGAAGTAAGACAAAGCTCCTCTGTGAGGTATTCAGATGAAAGTTTGTTTTCGCATTGAAATACATAGTTTGTGAAATGATTTCTTTATCAAATAAATTTTCAGCTTGTTGATGTTATTATTTAGTTTCGATGTATATTCATAGTCATTACATTATTTCTATAAGCATGGCGATAGGAAAGTTTCGATACACTGACTTCAAAATACCAGAAACAACTTAAAAATTTGATTATTATAGATCGAAGAATAAAAATATAACTGAAAAATATCTTTTAATTATACATATGTAAAATGTTTTTGTGATTTAACAATCTATTAACTTAATCACGTGCATAATTATACCTAAAACATGTGTCTAGCATAAAACTAATATAAAAGATAATAAATATAAGCTTTTAAAGCAATAAATTAAATTGTAAGGCTATTGGATATTATAAATATCTCTTTTGATAATTTTTTGTTTTTTTGCTAAAGTAGTTCGTTATAGTTGTTCTGTTTGTAATGAAGCAATAGAAGGTGGTGATAGTAATGATTGAACGATCGTTTGATTTTCTTCAAATTAAAAAATTCTTAGAAATATATAATAAATTTTATCATTAGTTTACCTATTGAATTGTCGAAAGAATGAATTGCAAGTTCTCTAGCATATCTTTGAAAAAAACATATTAATAGAATTATGAATTCAAAAGAAAAAAGACTTACTCGTCACCATAATGAACAAATAACTAAAAAAAAACAATAAAGCTTAATAAAACAATGTATATTATTTAATGAAAAATCATTTTACTTCTTCGCCTGCTTTAATATTACGTAATGTTCGATAATAGACTTCACCATTAAATTGAATTGCTGTTAGATTTTCATCTTCTTTTCTAATTGGACTGTTAACATATCTAAGAAACCTTATTCTTACATCCCAAAGTTCTATCCATGCGACGATGTGTTCTATTTTTACTATACCTGAGCCAATTGCTTCGATGTGGATCACTAGCATCTACATAATCATAAATATTTCCAGCATCATCTTCAATAACCCATGCCTATTAATCAACAAATAAACAAATATTCTTCTTTATAGTAACGACTAACATAGCCAGATTGATCAGCTCGTTCAGCTGATCGATGTCGTTCACCAGTATAAGGTCCAAAAAATGTATTTTTAG